AAAATAATATTAAATAGTCATTGGTATTAAATTACGATATAGCTCTCAATACACATTACAATTCAGTCACAAAAATCTATCATCAGCACAAGCATACATATAAATTTTTTAAACGTGCACAACACTGGCTAACTAGCCTTATGAATTTTAATTGTATCCGATTTATTCCGAATGGTACCCTACCTTTGCCGGTATGGTTTTTTTTTGACAAATTTTTTTTCCTATTTCCAAAAATGGTATTTTCCGACACAACAAGGTTAAACCACGGTCGTACCACAAAATACTATGTCACATACAAATCTGATATGACGTCCAGTACGGTTTTACAATCCTTGATGAAACACGAGGACCACAACTTGAGGACAAGTTGCTTTGTTAATAAGAAACATGCATGTGTACATGGTACTACTTCGGTTGTGTTTTATTTGCATCGTGGATTAGGTTTGTAAGAGAAGGTTGCGGTTGTCATAATGTTTGGAGCACTCTTAAAATTATTGGTATAATAAGACTCCACATTGCTGATTATACGATAATGTCGATAGCAGTTGTTCATTATTTGGTTTCTCTGCTAGATTTTTATGCGACAATCTCACACTTACATGCAAAACAATTTCAAAGTATACCAGTGCATTTCTTTGTGCAAAAGACATAAGGTTAATGTTATACCATGGGTGCTTTCATGCTACCATAGTACCATACCATGGTTGTCTTCTCCTCTCCCTATTATTTACTTTTATCCTCTGGACGGATAGACACTGGAGCTTACTCAATTATATAACTGTCCATGAATCCAACGTTGAACTCCAGGATCCACTTCATCTATTCTCAATAAATAATCATTCAAATCCATTGCCTAAAAAAAATTCAAAGCTTGCAACAAATGTTTGACAACAACGATAATGACTATTTGACATGTTTTCGGTCAGTTGTTTGGTATTTTATAAACATCACTGATCATATACTTTGATTGCTTCCTAAATTATTTATGAGCAACTACTGAAGCAAAACAACCACCCCTATATTAAATATATGAATCAAACTGAATTATTCATCACACATAATGATACATTAGATTCTTCTTCCGTGAAATTAGTACCCAATTTGGGTCGACAATGGGCTCATCATCCTGTGATAGGCCTTGAGGTGTACAATGAAAAAACACAGGCTGCCTTTGATTGAAAGTAATGGAAATCCATCACAGGGTAGTGTTGATTTGCCAATGGTCGGTCGCAGAAGTCATGACTGCAGAGCAAACCCACAAAGCCCAGTTTCGTTTGTTGTTCGTTCATCGGCGGTGAGTAGAATCATACTTGAACATGTAAGCCTGAATATAATGAATAAAATATAGTGAATTAGAATTTATTTTCAAACAAAATGAAAAGATGTGCTTTGTTTTCAGATTTCAATGCGGGAACAACTATACTCATGCCAATTCATCGTCAAATTTAAAATGAAACATATTAAAATACATTTCAGATAACAATCCAGTATAATTAAACAACTTTTACATCACCAAAGTTCATTTTCATTTGGCATATAGGGAACAGAAATGTTAATAGTTACTAAGGCATCTCTTACCATGTACTTAACATCAATGAAAGGATCATTGACTGCTTCCATTTTCACATCATGCCTAGATCGATGTTGCAATATGCAGAACCATACTTACGGTTCGACCAAACCCTGCATTAGCCCAGTTACACTATTAGTTAGAATCCAGACAACTCTTAGGGAAAAGAAATGTCTCTGACCAACATGGCCTGCCACTTTTCTATTAAATATATATTATAAAAACAAATAATAAGTCCCTAACTGCAATTATCACCACGTTCTTCCACTATGCCACTCATTCTCAAGCTTAACCGAACTTCCTTTCCTGCAAGTCTATATAAGGAACACTTCCAGCCCGTGAAAAGGTTTGCTGCCATCCAAAATACTTACTCTTTTTCATCGTGCGGTATCAGTGATGGCTCTCCGCAATTTATCCCAATTGAACGTACATGATGATGACCAGGCTGTTCGCGTCAGGCTCCTGCGTTTATGGCATACAATGAGGCCTGATGGTGTAACACTTGACCAAATCCACATGTTGTTTCTCGACAACCAGGTACTTTGATTTTCTAAGCCTTCTATTCTTTACATGAGTGGGAAGTACACTATTCAATACTAAAAATACTCAATGATTTTTTACTGTGACTTTTAGGGAACAGAGATGCAGGCCTTAGTTGATATTCTTAATGTTCAGTTGTTTGCTCCTGTTCTTCACGTGGGAAGGATCTATTTCTTGAGCAACTTTTTGGTCCAAGAATATGATGATACTTATAGAGTTTCTCCTGCAACTATCCGAATCCGCTTTCACAATGACACGGTTATTGAGGAACTCCAGAATGCAGCCGACATACCAACATACAGCTTTCGATTTTTGGCTGCTCAGGATCTTCCCTTTGCTGTCCATAACCATGAATATTTGTCTGGTATTTCTAATTCAAATGAAATATTTATTTGGCCAGTTTGGTTTTCATATTGTGTTCTACGATATGTTTGGGATCAGATTTAATTGGGGAGGTCGAAACTGTTGCACAAGAAGAGGTCCTGTTCGAAGATGCTGCTATTTTAAGGCGAAAGGGAGTGCAGCTTAAATTGATTGAGTCAGTTGGTTGCTGTTTTGTACAGGCTACATTTGAAGTGTGCTTACCGTATGCAGACCATTCATTCTTCTCTTTCTTTTTTAAATTTTAGGGGACCTATAGTTGATGTCGTCTTATGGGATGATCTAATTGACGAATTTCAAGTTGTGACGCCTAATGATCCTTTACCAGGAACAGTAGTTGTCTCCACTTCCGTTGTTGTCCGCCACTTCGCAGGTATCTTACATGGTTTTCATTCTAATTTTCCAAGCTGTTCTTTTAGTTCATATTAGTAGTTATTGAGTTTCTAGATGTTATGGTTTTAGGGGAAGAATATTGTGTGGGCTCAAATGCAACGAAAGTATACTGCAACTTGCACTATCCTCACGTGCACCCCCTGCTTGATAAGTAAGTGTTTAACTTTTGTTCAATAGAATCAGTTCTTTTATTATTCTTTCTCTCATGTTTTGGAATTATTTTTTCTTGATTTACAGTATAGAAAATGTCCCGCTGGCCATTGACTACACGTTGGAGGATGCTATATGGTTAAGTGACATATGTTCCATTTCGGAACTGAATCTATACAAGACTGACTTCAGCAACCAGGTAGTTTATATGTACACTCGGTCAAATCCTACAAAAATTTCCAAAGTCATATTTTGCTCCCATTGAATATCATAATTGTTGGCCTGGACAACATGGTTGGATTTCACTGTGTCTCTAATGCTCTAACTTGACCAATGAAATATCAACTATCCTCTTACCATTCCCAAATGTAAGCTTTCATGTGGTTCATATTACAGGGGAATTTGTACCTTACTACTGCAACAGTCAAGGACGTGACTGTTTTTTGGTCAAATGTGCATCTCAAGTTTATGGTGAGGCTGACTGTTGCTACTGGACCTCATGAGGCTTCTATCATGTTTACGACTACCAAGTTTCGTTGGATAGCAAGCCGTATCATTGAGGCCACAGACAAGGAATGGACCAATGACTTCAGGACTCTCCTAGCTGCTCTCAGGGGTAATTTATTGAAGTTTATGATTGAATTCGGAGATTTCAACGGCCAGACCAATGAGTTTGATTTGGTTCTTCGCAAATTATTCTGGTAGAGGGTGTGAAGTACTTGAGCAGTGCTTTATTTCAAAGATAATTTCTGTAGATTTGTTCCAATTATGGATGTTGAACTCTTTGCCCGCATAAATTATTAATTAGCTGCTCCATCTATCTCCTGTGGTTTTTAGCTAATTGAAGTATTGATCATGTTAAAAGATACTTGGTTAGTGAATTTAATTTTTCTACTTATATCCAGGAATGTTTCTGCTACTATTATTATACACCAGAACTTTTTCTTTATCACTCAAAAACACTACTCAATTAAACCAAAGAAGTTTGAAACTTACCTTGCACAATTCCAGCTTTTCTCCTGCTGCAAACGGTTTTCCTTAGGCTACTTTCGGATCCTCTCACAACATATGTATGTGTAGGTGTCCAAACATCAACTTTCACTTTCCATACGCCATTTGACTTTTCATTGCCAGCCTTCATGAGATCCTTTCCATGAAGCAGAAAACAATCTGAAACTCATCTTCTGCAGCCTTGGTGGAGCTGAACCTCTTATCCATCCATCCTCCCCTGGCAACAAATCAATGCATATTGGTAGTTAATAATTTCTTCTAAGAATTCTACATATAATCGTTGAACCTCTTCTCACAAGGGAGATATATTTTATCTTTTCTTGGAACAAAGAAAGGATTGAAAGCGTGCTTCTCTAGGGAAGATGAAAGCAAAACTCCTACTGCTAAGACCTCCCGATGAGAGTCTTAAATTAAAAGCAATGATTTTTCTCATAGACCACAGAGCATAATCAAATCTTGGTACAAGAATGAAATTACAGCTACTGTAATAAGGCTAACCCATCAGCACCTTCTTGGTATCTAAAGATACATAAACCATTTTGCCCCTGGTCATGTAATGACTGCAGAAAACCAGAAGATTGTTGTTTAATAACATTGAGTCATAGACTCGCCCATCAGCACCTTCTTGGTATAACCTCGACCGGCCCTCTCTACTTTCTTTATCGATAGACCACCACCCCATTATTCTGTGTAGACAAATCATAAATACCAAGTCAGCATTCTCTAGATAAATTCCGAGTTCGTTTAATTGAACATTGACCTAAGAATGAAAGCCAAATATAGTTACCTGGAACTTGAATGAATCAATTCCTGGGTCTTCTTGAGATCTTGATTATTCCTATCTCTCCAAAGATGTCGACGGGCCAAGGGAAAAGCAGTCAATTCGACGGGTTGTTGGAGGAACTCACGCCCCAAATCCTGTCCAAGTTGCCGACACCCTCCGCCGTCTTCCGAAGCCGCTGCGTCACCGACATCATCATCACCAACATCAATCGTCGTTGGTTCTCGCTGCCAGGAGAAGCCGTGTCATCACCAATCTGTCCGTTGAAGCTCCATTCGAGGAGACCAGATAAGAGACGGGACGTCTTGAGCTGGCGATTTCACCGTTAGAGCAGGCAGGCTAGAGATCCAAATCGGGGACCCTTTCCTCTTCCTCTACGATAATTAGAACCACAAAATTAAAATGTCAGAATCCTAAATCATAAGAAAGTACCAATAATTCGACATGCAAACTAACTAAACAGATCTTACCTTCATCATCGTCAGTTCTATAATCTGTCACGCTATCGCAACTCAGGCGAGGAGATGAGATAAGAGAGGAGAATTCCCAATCTGACGGCTCCGCTAACAGAGCAGGCGGACTGGGGGTACTTTGTCAGAATAATAATGTTTTAATTTTTTGGTTCCAACAATGAGTTTCATTTCATAGAGAGTTCTTTTTTTTTTTAATACTCTAATGGTTAAATTTCAATTACCATATTCAGATGTCAGTTTGTTTTGGGCAAATTTGGTATTTCTATTTACATTTTTCTGGTCATCTCATGTACCATTCTTGCAACACATTACCAATGTAGTTCTTATTATTATGGTTGCAAGATCTTATTATTATGTTTGCAAGATTATAACCCAATTATTTAATTTCAGCTTCCCTTATAAATACTATAACTTATCAATTTGTAACTGTAAGTTAACAAAACAAATTATACGTTTTCAATTAAGTTTATCTCATATATCATTCATGCAACACATTACCAATGTGATGCTTATTATTATGTTCCCAATATTACATCCCTTTTATTAAATTTCAGCTGCTCTTATAAACACTTTAACCGAACAATTTTTAACTTAAAATGACCAAAAATTAATTCGTTTTCATTTGACTTCATGTTCCAACATTTGTCAAATGATACGCTTATGTTTAGTTTACCCGCCCAACGGGCCGGGCCCTGCGCTAGTATGATATATGCCAAGACCAGTAGTATGAACTGTAGCCAATTTTTTGGTAACAGACCCGTTGATGCGAACAAGCAAATCTTAACAACTCGAATTGCCCGGGTTAACCCCGCAGCGCGAGTTTACACATATACACAGCTGTTACATGGATAGGAAGGATATCGTGATCTGGCTACCAATTCCAAACGTCGCAATGAATATACACATATACTTAAACCAAAGCATGTGTCCATGTGGCATAATAATAATAATAGTAATAAGAATGGCACCCTTAACGAAACGTGTAACAACAGTCAGTCTACAGGCCCTTAATTCTCAGTTGCGATCATTCCTTGTTGGATCATCTTCATGAGTCGGCCACAACAACTGAGGATGGTTGATTCGTGCAAGCATGCAGAACGGTGCATATATCTGTCTTCTCCAGGAATTGTTCTGCGTTTATAAGGATCACAGGACCATACTCAAACACCAGTTTCTTGCACTGCCAAAATCAGGAAAAGAAAATCCGCGTAAGTTTTCAATTAATCAGCAGAAACGCAGAACAAGAACATGGACCATTTAATTGATTTATACTGTCTAATAACATAGTTCTTACCTGTGCCTTGCGACTATCCATGGAGTTGCAAGCCTTTAATAACAGCTCAATTATCTCCAACTGTTTGCCAAAAACAAGAAACAAAACAATGTTACATGCAGCACAACTTGGAGCAATCAACAACTATAAGCTAAAGAATGCCGCATCTTCGAGCATGACAACCATCGAGAAGCCATATGAATCAAGAGATGGACCAACAAAGTGCAGCTATCAGTCTGTCACAATAGTTTCTGCCATAAATTATTCTTGTATATAAGCTGCTGTGAGAAGCAGGGCAAACCTGAGTTTCGGGATCTTTCAACTTGGCCATTACTTCAGAAACAGTATTGTGGCAGATTCCACAAGCATCTTCTTCGATTTTTGCGGCAATGGCTGCAACCTTTTGGCAAAGGTCCACCTTTCTACAGAAATCTTCAGGACTGATAGAAGAAACCTCCAAGAAGAAGAGTGGAGCATAATAGTCTACCAAACTGATGCACTGCAATATGAAAGTATATGTTTCACTAACAATTCAAACACAATTAAAAGCTTCATAGTAGTTAATTTTGGAAATGTTTTCAATTACACAGGGCTTTGCACGATTTTACGATGCTCCAAAAGCTTCTTCTTCAGTTTCGTTGACCAAGAGGTTAAGTAACGAAATCATAATAATCATCTGAGTTTGACTACATTGTTATTCAGAACATCCACCAGTTATGAGCTGTATTAAGATAAAGTAGAAATATTTCTGAACATCAGAATTGCCAAAGACTTACCTCAGTCTTATATGGGGGAAAACGAGCACACGTTTGATGAAGGAGTCCTATAATCTCTGTCTGTGTCTTGTTGTTAGAAATGTACTCTAGAGCCTGAGCACTGTACTGCTCACATATTGTGCATACTTGGTCCTTCTTCGCCACGTCTGCAGCATGAATTCCACTTCCTTGCTCCTGGATTTCCACTGTAACATTTGAAAATAAACACAGCTGATTCCGTGAACTGACAATTCCGCATTTCAAACATAACAAAATCGCCAAGGGAAATACAAGAAATAGATGGCATGCTCATTTTATCGCAATGAGTTTTGCCTATAGAGCAAGTGCTGTGTAGCTGGATTAAGTAGGCTTACATCATCTACACACATATTTGCTCATATCAAACTACAATCAAAGTTAACTTCAGCGGTGAATAGGCGGAGCATACAAAGAGTGTGGTAGTTCTTATCTCTGAGTATGGTTAAGAAGTCAACATGTAAAAATAACAGCTTTAGCCATTTTTTGCAACCAAGGTTCAAACGGGAACCAACAAAAGAAGAGGTGGTTCATAGCCACAATCCCTTCGTAGCTGGAAAACTTGTATGCATAAAACTTGCGTTGAAGAAAGGCATAAGCTTTACCTGATGCTTCCTTATCGACAGGAAGCTCAAGGGTTATGAATTGTCTGGCAGAGCAGCCCCAGGCACCAACCAACACAAGGAGGAAAAAGAGTTCAACTCTCCGATCCATGATTACACCTGAAGAAACCGGCAAATAAAAATCAAGATCGAAACTTTAAACTGGGAATCCTCTCAATCAATCAGCCTTAGGCAATCATAATCTGGGAGAGGTTGGCAAGTCAAAGATACTCCCCCAGAGATCCACCGAGCCAATTATTGAAGAAACAACAGAGACTCTATGAACTCAAAACCCCAAATTAACTTGAACAATTTCTGAAGGGCCAAGCACAAATCACGAAGGAACAACAGCTACAAGCAACCTCGCGCAATCAAATTGGTGATCGAGAGAGTACCGAGCAGAAAGATAACAATTAAAATTGAATTTTCTTGGGAAATCAGCAGGCCCAAACTTGCGGGGGACTAGGAATTCCTAAAACTCCTTTAGCAAGCAAAAGCTATGGGTGGGTAAGGGAAATTACCTCAGTCCAAGTTGCGAAGGATTCAAGGATGAGAGGAGATGAGAAGAATAATTGGATTTTGGTTTCCTTCCTCGAAGTATAAAGGGGTGTTTCGTCAAGGTTGGTTTGGGTATTTAACAAGATGGTTTGGGTTCCTATCCTGTCGTCGGCTAATCATGGATATATAGTTACGAAATACGAACCTCTGGTCCTCCACGGAAAGCCACTAAATAATAAAAAAACTCCAAGTGGTTCGGATTTCTATCTTGGCAGGAAAGCTATTGGTTGACGTGTCCAAATATAGCAGACTAACGTTTCCCTGATATTTTGGTCGAATAAATTGTATAGTTGGTCAATTGGATTAATGATCATTAAAATTATTTAATTATATTCGTCGTCACTAAAAATTAATTAAATATTTCAAGTTCAGTCATTTTTCGTCCAATTCCGTTAACTTGTGTTTATTTGGCAGTCAATTATCAGAGTTTGATCATTAAAATTATTTAATTCCATTCGCACATTTAACGGTCAACTATCGGAATTGACCTCCACATAAGCAAAAGTTAACGGAGTTGGATGAAGAGTGACCAAAATTAATATATTTAACTAATTTTAGAGACTGTTGGGCATGTGACTCGGACCTAGCCGCGTAAGGTATGACGCGCTGACATAAGCCCAGACGCGAGAGCCTAAGGCGCGCCACAGCATGTGCGCGGATGGGAAGAACCAACGCGCGAAGACCCTGAACCCCTCACAAGCTGCGCGCGGGTGAGAAGCATCAAGGCGCGGAGAGCCGGGCGCGTCACAAGCCACGCGCGTACTGAGAGTGCCAGGCGAGTACTAAGCCACAGGGCTACGAGGAGTCTCGCCCACACTCCCCGAGGGCCGGCCACGTTGGGATCCGAGAGATGGTCGTAGGTACACCTCTGACACGTCCTAGGTAGAGGAATGGCCTAAATTCCTGACGTGTCAGTAGTCATGTCAAGGTCATGTCAAGGTCAAAATACCATCATGTAATCCACCCACTCACCCACCACCATGTAGCCTATAAATATGGCATTTACTCCGGTGGGTGAAGGGGATCGCATTTTTAGCATTCTATCTCTAAGAACATCAACTTCTCTCTCTAAAAGACCGACTCTCTCAACCTCCCAGCCCTTTGTTCTACGCCATACCGTGGATTTTCTGTTGTTTACTCTCCTTGACCCACTTTCTTTCCCGAACCTTACTCCTACACTCAGTTAGGTTCAACAATTGGCGCCCACCGTGGGGCCAAGAAGAAACGCAGAAGAAAATCCATCAATGGCAGAACGCAACCACGACCAACCTGACGAAGCGACGCCAATCAAGGCAATGACCGACCTGAGGGCGTTCGCAGAAGCCAGCAACCTCAACGCGGTGCTCATCGAAGACGAAGAGCCCGAACTGACAGCCAAAGAAATGAGGGAGCTGGTGACAAAGCAAAACAACGTCATAGCTGACATGCAGAAACAAATGAGCCAAGTCATCGCGCTCATGATGAGCAAGGAGACCGCGCCAACAGCAGACGCAACGGCGGTCGCACCTCAACAAGCCTTGGGAGAAGCGTCGGGAACCGCCCAACTACCACAACACGCGCCAACGGAATTCCCCGCGTGCGAAACGCATGGAATTGAACCACCAGGGCGGGCGGACCTCAGCTTCTTAGAGCAACACTTGTCTCCGCAATACCGACCCAACCCGCCTAAGAGGGTCCTCCACCAGCCACTGAGCGCGCAAATTATGGCGGAGCACCTAAGCGGAGCGCCACCCACCCTCCCAACATACAACGGCACGACCGACCCAGAAGACCACGTGAGCACTTTCTGCTTGCGTATGCAACTCCAAACCAACTCCAACGCGGCGCTGTGCAGGACCTTCCCGTCAACATTTTCTGGAATATGCCTCGACTGGTACAACAGACTCCCGAACGGAATCATCCGCTCATTCGAAGAGTTCATACTCCTGTTCACAACAAAGTTCGCGTCCCAGAAGAGGCGTCCCCTGCATCTCAAGGCGTTGATAGATATCAGACAGAAGGAGGGTGAGAGCCTGAGGGCTTTCTACGCTCGATGGTCTAGGGTGGCAATGGCCGTCCGCGACCTCACCCCCGAAACCGCTGCCCATCACCTCATGGAGGCCACTTGCAACATGGAGCTCAAGCGGGCGCTAGCGAAAAGGCCTGTAACCCTATCCACAGAATTGGAAATGAAAATCGAGAAGGCAATCACGTTGGAAGAGACTCTCGGGGCGGGATCGGTCAGGCGCTTCGAACCGGCAAAGTTGCAGCGCGAAGAACAGGGGCGTCGGCAACCTCCGGCCCCGATCCCACGAGACCAATTGGTACAGCTGCACAGTGGCCCAAAAATACACCCTCCTCCCCCGCAAGAGCAAGCTCAGCGCCGGCGATCGCCAGATAGACGAGCGTCCAACACCTACACGCCACTTAACGACTCCGTGAGAAACGTATTCCACGTTCTCCGCGAGAAGGGCTACAAGCTCAATTGGCCTGCTCCGTTGAAATCCCGACCTCACATGCGCGATCCAAACAAGCACTGTGACTTCCACAGAGCAACAGGTCACTGGACAGAAGACTGCCGCGAGCTACAGTACGAAATCGAGGGCCTCATAAATCGAGGATTGTTAACCGAGTTCACCCACGTCAAGGAAGAACAAGTCGAAGGCCCCCAAAACCCGCCACCTCCACCACAGGCCAACTACAACGATGACGTCGGCGGCGCGTACGTGGTACGCAAAGAAATAGGGGTGGTAACGGTAGAAGGAGACCGCCCCAAGAAGAAAACCAAGCGAGAGCGCGCAACGGAATGCGCGATTGTAGACGCGCGGACGAAGTTCAACCTGAGCTTCGACGATGCGGAGTTCCCACGAGGAGTCCCATCAGAAGACCCACTCATCATCACCGCGCTGGTTGCCGGATGCAAAATCCACCGTCTGCTGATAGACGGAGGTAGCGCAGCTGACATCCTCTTCCAAAGCACCATTGACAAAATGGACATCGACCCGCGCTTAATCAAACGCGCGCAAGGCAATCTGGTCGGGTTCTCCGGAACGAGGGTCCCAGTAATTGGAGTAGTCACCCTCCCAGTAGTAATCGGAGACCAAGAGCCGCGCATATCCAAGCAAGTGGAATTCACGATCGTCAACTGTAAGTCGGCACACAACGGCATCCTTGGCCGACCGTTCCTGGCGAAATTCATGGCCCTCCCATCAACGTGCCACCAAAAGCTCAAATTCCCCACCCAAACAGGGGTCGGAGAGGCGCGAGGAACGACATGGGAAGAGCGCGATGAGGTGCGCTAGGGATGGCAAAAATATCCATAATCGTGGATATCCACCCGAATCCGGCCTAATTGGGTATGGTAAAACCCGAACCCGAAGGACATTTAGTGGGTACGGGTAAAACCCGAACCCGAATATTGCGGGTAATGGGTGGACATGGGTTTCTAACTATCCAACCCGAACCCGCCCGATTATACGCATGCATGTGTATTTTCTCTAGAAATAATAATTATTTTTCTCTAACATATTTTATATTCAGCATATAAATATAATATTTTCATGAAATTGTGTTGTTTTAGTTAATTTTCTTCATTCTAGTGAACTATTGTCGTACTTTTCCTCTTACGTAATTTGAGAATACGTGTGAATGTTAACATATTGGTTGGAGTTATAAAGAGAAATTATTATCCATGGATAACCGTGGATACCCGAAACCCGAACGGGTATGGGCATGGTTTTAATTTTCTACCCGTTTCACATGTGGGTATGGGTATGGATAAAACCCGAACGAACTACTTTGGGTAGGATAACGGATATGCACTATCCGTCCCCGACCCGACCCATTGCCATCCCTAAGGTGCGCCAGACCAACATCGTCGACACAAGAGCAGAAGAGCCCTGCCCGGAGTCCATGGATTCCGACTTCGAAGTCGCGTTGGATCCCGCCGAGCCGACTAGGAAGATACGCATCTCCACTCACGTCAGCAGTGACGCGATCGAACCGCTCGTAGCCTTGCTGAAGGAATACAAGGAGCTGTTCGCTTGGTGCACAGAAGACATGCCAGGAGTGCCCAGAGAAACAGCCCAGCATTGCCTCGCGGTCCCAATCAACGCGGAACCAAGGCAACAAGGGCGAAGGATATTCACTGGCGACAAACTGAAGGCCATAGAGGAGGAGGTAGCGCGCCTACTAGCGGCAGGATTGATCCGCCCCGTGAAATATCCAAAGTGGCTGGCAAACGTGGTCTTGGTTAAAAAATCATCAGGGGCCTGGCGGATGTGCGTCGATTACACCACGATCAATAAAGTATGCCCGGGAGACCCGTACCCCCTACCGCGCATCGACCAACTGATCGACGCAACCGCCGACCACGAGACGTTATCCTTCCTCGACATGTTCTCAGGATACCACCAAATCCCAATGTCCATCGAAGACGAAGAGAAGACGGCGTTCATGACACCGTTCGGAAACTTTTGCTTCGTCGGGATGCCATTCGGGTTGAAGAACGCAGGCGCGACGTACCAGAGAATGATTGATGCGGTGTTCTCCCGGCAGATCGGGCGAAACATTGAGGCATATGTGGATGACCTTATCGTCAAAACAAAGGCGGGCAACTCACACCTGGAAGACCTGCGCGAGACATTCGAAGCCCTCCGCCAGCACAACCTCCGCCTCAACCCACTCAAGTGCGTTTTCGGAGCCGAAGCAGGGAAATTCCTTGGATTCATGATAACGAAGCGCGGCATAGAGGTTGACCCAAAACAAATCTCCGCAGTCCAACAACTTCGAGCGCCGAGGAACGCATTGGAAATCCAATCTCTGAACGGCAAAATAGCGGCACTGGGAAGGTTCATTCCTAGGTCTGCCAACAAGTGTGCTCCCTTCTTCAAGACGCTCAAGAATGGGGCGCGTTTCACATGGTCCCCGGAATGCGAAGCGGCATTCCAAGAACTCAAGGCGTATCTTGTATCCCCCCTGTACTGACTGCCCCCAAGCTTAATGAAAAACTCTTCTTGTATCTTGCTGTGTCAACAAGGGCTGTGAGCGCGGTACTGATATCCAGAAGGGACGGTAAAACCGAGCAACCGGTATATTACACCTCGCGCACCCTCGTAAGCGCGGAGACAAGATACTCCTCTATCGAGAAAGCTGCCTTGGCGCTAGTAAGTGCGTCACAGAAACTGCGCCCGTATTTCCAAGCGCACCAAATCACCATC